GTCCTAGGACCGTTGTTTGCAAGTAATGGAAGCCACCTCAAGCTTATTCAATGACGGGGAATTTATTTTAAATACATAGGTACATGTCATAGAATCCAAGGGCCAACATCAGGAATAGCTTGGTCCAGAAACTGGGAGGTGGCCAGTACCCCTGGGAGAATTTTCTCTTGGTCACTTACTGTAGTTCTCTTTGCAGATCTTTATTCGGTCTCAGTAGACTGGCTTTTCCTGCCGCTCTTGACTCATGGGTGTAGAAGATGGTTGTCCACAGTTCACAAGTTTGTATTGCAGCAACGCGAAGGGCTGGTCCTTTCAGCTCTGATTCCCCATCTCTGGGGGAGAGACTCTGATTGCCCTACTTGGTCAGATGTCCACACTGACCTCACCCTAAGCTGAAGCTGCTCATACCAGTTCCTGAGGGCCAAATGGTCAGATTTTCAGGATTTTTGGTGAGCAGATTGTTCAATACAACCATTATTAAAAAGTAAATTATTTACATTTACAGTTAAGTAAATTACATTTTAAAGTGTAGTAATTCCTCAAAACGAATCACTTCGCTGCATTTTGCTGTGATTCGTGTCTGTTTTATCTATGTGGTAGAGCACTGCTATGTAATGGTGTGCCACTGCACTTCTCAACTCTAGTTCCTGATACCCCATTGAAAGCTTGAATCAAGGCCCTCAGCTAAGAGTGAGGATGGGGAAAAGACCCCGATGGTTTGAGAGGGAAGGGGCGATGCCATAGCCATCTTAGAGAATGAGGTGGTAAATGAACTACATAGATACAGTACGGTTGCCCGGCTGCATGAAAGGTTCCTTTGAAATTCATGGTTATGATACGGATACAATGATTATTTTTCTATGACAGTGAGGAAACCTAGGCTCAGAGAGGTTAAATTATTTGCCTAAAGTTGCACAGCCAGCATGTGGCAGAGTCAAGATTTGGGTTCGGGCAGTCTGGCTCTGGAATCCATCCTCTTAAGGGCCATGAGTTAACTAATGAACGACTGTGATTCTGCTTCTCAGAATGACTACGGAGATAACGGCGTCCTTTATATAGAACATAACAGATCCACAATTCAGGTCCATCAAAGGCAACAGCCTTAATTAAAAAGACAAAACAAGTCCTGTATAAATATTGTCAGATAAGAAAGGCAGCCAAGTAATTCTGGATTAGTGTTTCTCGAAGGGAGTGTTATTATTGAAAGGTTTTTCAAAAACATTTAAATAGTAGGAGATGCTGACCTGGAAGGTAGGAAGGGACCAGTGTAGACCTATTAGGCAGCAGAGATCTGTTAAGCAGAACAGAAGGCAGAGAAGGATGGCCTGGGCCATGCCAGGCTTGAGCCCACACCAGTGACACCCGAAAGAAAGATTCCCGTTAGAAAAGGCAGAGGTATCTTGAGTGTTGTAAAAGCCACGGGATTTGTAAGTTTCCAAACAAATAATCGTGGTTGGAAGAAAAGCAACTTGGCATATCTGCCCCAAAACAATTCTAATTCCTCTCTTCTGTTAATGGGCAGCTTTGAAACAGCTCTTAGCGGCTGAGCTTGTTGGTGTGTCTCTGCCATTTGAACCATCCCGGCTGGTGACTGGGTGTGTAGCCCTCACCAAGGGACAGGATCCAGTTCAAATCCACACCCGGTTGTCAAGCAATCTCTGTGCCAGACACTGGGGCTGTGGAGATGAGTAAAACGCAGGCCTGACCTCAAGAAGATCATAATAAAGGAATAACAGAGATAAGTGAACAGTCATCGTGTGGTTTGAAAGCGCACGGACAGCAAAATTTAGAAAAGGTGCCGCCTCAGACCTCACACAAAATGAGCTTATCTTAATCAGTGGAAGCTCCCAGGAACAGAGAGAAATGTTGACAGGGTTAAAAACCACAGTTAAGAAACTTCTTCAAAACTCGATTCACACGCCAGTAGCCTTGACATCATCTTGGCAGTTTTGTGTGCCTGTTACAATTTCAGAAGCTCTTGTTTAGAAAACGTAAAAGCCTGCCCTAACTTATGGGTAAAGGGAAGCAGATTTCCAGCCTTGGAAATGCATCTTTGGAAGTTCTGGTCACATCCGAGCCGAACTGCTTAGGGAGGGTAACTAATCTGAGACACAAGGGATACATTTCAACCTCCAAATACGAGATAGTCGTTCCACCCTCCCTAAAAACGTCCTCCTAAACCTGAACATTGGATAGGAAGGGAATTATTTTCCATGGAGTTTCTGTTACCCAGTTGTTGCGTGTCATCATGTGGCCTAAGATCCCCTAATTAAGCCACTAAGAAGCAGGTGCACCAGTTGGGATGTAACAGTGACAATTGCCAAGGACGCAATTATTTCCAGCACTTGAAATCAGAACTTTAGAATGTGAAAAGTATATTCCACTGAATTACAATGTAGGCCAACGTATAGAGTTGCGGTGCCACTTCATCCTCAGAAGTATGCCTCTTCCTGGACTTTTACTGCAGATTCTGGTGGGTGCTTTCTTTTTTGTCACCTGTAGACTGGGCAGGGGACAGAGAACAGGTTCATCAAGACTGTCAGCTGACCTCAGCAGGCTCTGAGGAGGCAGGGGGGCCAAATGGGCCTATATGTCTTATATTGCTCTCTTCCCACCTTCCAGGCCAGCATCTCCACTATTTAAATGCTTTTGAAAACCTTTCAATAATGACACTCCCTTCAAGAAACAATAATCCAGAACTTACTTCGCTGCCTTTCTTATCTGACAATTTTTATACAGGACTTGTTTTGTCTTTTTAATTAAGGCTATTACCTTTGATGGATCTGGTGGGCGCCATGCTGTTTCCCTCAGCGGGAGGCTGGTTGAACACATCATGTGAGTGAAACCTGCTGAACTGGCTTCTCTAGAGAGGCAAAAAATATTTTTTATTTACCTTGTTCCTTGGCACCAAACTCCCTGATTTTTTTTTTCTTTTTCACATAGGCTTTTTTTTTTTTAAATGCATTTACCTGAAATTAATAGCAGATCTTTTGACCAGGGCAGCTTTTTTCTTAGTAGCAACACTGTCCAATGGGCACAATTATCATCTCCATGCAGGGGGTCTAAACAGCAGAATGAAATATGGACCCCACCAATGTCCAGATAGTATAGACCCCCAGCATATTTTACTCTATTTTCAAGTAGAGGAAAAGCCACTCATTCTGCAGCCTCATCGCACGTATTGTTTTCGTACAACACATTGTGTGACCTCTTCCTCGGTATGCTCATATTTTATTCTTCGCTGTCCTCAAGGAAACCCTAGCTTATTAATTGTTAAACATGTTAAGGAACTGGGGATTCATTACGTGCCGTTCCCAATTCAGAAGGTTGGAGAGCCAGATGCCTGTCCTATATCCAGGAGGTTGATGTGCAGTAATGCATCATTCTAATGTAGCTGGTGTAATGAAGCCCAGGTCCTGGGTGTGATTCCCAGGGTGCCAGTTACCTCGGCTCTCTGGCTGCGGACCATAACTCTATTCCGATGCCGCACCTCAGATGTATGGTGTCGGTCAAAGCGAGGCTGAAGGAGAGGCCGTGACCAACACACCATCGAAGCTTCCGGAGCGAGAACTCACAGCCCACCCCTCAGTGCTGGTCCGTATGTCAGTTTCCGTCTCTGAGCCACCTCCAGCCAGAGCTGAATTCTCCCCCCTCAGAACCCCCC